GGCAAAGCGGGGAGCCCGAGAGGGGGGAACCCCTGGGATTGCCGGGACCCCGGCGGGGGGTGCTGGGGCTGGAGGGGCGGCATGGCCGGGAAAGGGGTTCGGGGGTGCGGGAGCCGGGAGTGGCTGGTCCCGGTATGAGCCCAGTTGCTCCCAGTATGAGCCCCGTTGCTCCCCCTGTGTGGTTCCAGTTTCCTCGGCACTCCCAGTATGAGCCCAGTCACTCCCAGTTATTCCCTATTATGATACTGTTTGCTCCCAGCACGGCCCCAGTTGCTCCCAGTCCCTCCCAATTTGGTCTAATGTGTTCCCAGTTCTGCAGTTGCCCCTAGCACAGTCCCAGTCACTCCCAGTACAATCCAAATATGAGTCCAGTATGATGCCAGTCTGCCAGAGGGCCCCAGTCACTCACACTTGCCCCCAGTTGCCCCAGCATGGTCCCAGTTTTTCCCCCAGCACATTCTGAATTAGGTCCCAATCACCACCCCTATAGTCGCAGACATTCCCAGTATATCCCAGTTGCACTGATCAACCTTGTAGTCCTCCCCAGGCACTCCCAGTTATCTCAGCGTGGTTCACTTGCCCCAAGTTTGATCCCAGTTGCACTCAGTAACCCCTAGAATAGCCTCAGCGCCTCTCAGAATGATTTTTTTTCTCCTTGGTAAGTTGGGAGAAGTTTGGAGAATGCACAGCTCCAAATCTGATCAGAAAATGCACCTTGGGGGGACATTGGGGGTCCCGGTGGCGGCTGCCGGCAGAGGCAGCCTGGAGGAGCAGAGCCCTTTGTCCCCCAGGACCCCAAAGTGGGGAGCCCAGAGAGGGGGGAGCGCCGCGATTTTGGGACCCTCAACAGCCTGGAGAGGGGCAGGGGGGAGTCCCTGGACCCCCTGCACCCCAAAGCAGAGAATAAGGGGAGAATAAGGGGAGAAGGGACCCCAAAAACCCCCAGCATCCCTAAATGGGGAAACAAAAGAGGGGGGAGCTTTTTGGATTCCTGGGACTCCCAGCAGCCCGGGGAGGGCGGGAACCGAGTAGATGGGGGACCCCCAATACAAGCGTGACCCCCAGCAGCTGGGACAGGGGGGAACCCCCAAACACCAAAGGAGAGGTACCATTCCCAGGAACTGGTGGGAGGCATTTTCAGGGCTGAATGTTGGTGTTTGGGAGGTTTTTATGGACCCCAGATGCTCGGGGACTTCTAGAGATGGAGTTGGGCAGGAGGAACCCGCAACACAACGTGCTCATCCCTTGTTTTTCCCCAAACCAGGATTTCCCATTCCCAACCCTTGGCTGCGATGAAGATGCCCCGGGAGCCCCAGGCAGGTGAGGAGGAAGTCAGTGTCCCTTTCCCCCTCTGTCCTGCTCCATCTCCCAGCCCAGCACGGCCCCCGGCTGCAGGACAACCCCAGCTTCGTGATGGGGAGAAGCCCCACAAGTGCTCAGAATGTGGGATGAGCTTCAGGTGGAGGAACAGCCTTACCTGCCACCAGAGGATCCACACTGGGGAACGGCCCTACGAGTGTGGGGAGTGTGGAGATAGATTCAGCCAGAGATCTCACCTGACCCAGCACCAGAGGATGCACACTGGTGAACGACCATACAAGTGTTCTGAGTGTGGGAAGGGATTCACAGTCCGCTCCAAACTGATCCAGCACCAGATGCAGCACACTGGGGAGAGGCCCTACGAGTGTGATAAATGTGGGAAGAGGTTTCAGACCAGCAGCAATCTCCTCCAGCACCAGCGCACGCACACAGAGGAGAGGCCCTTCCGCTGTCCCGACTGCGGGAAGGGCTTCAGGGAAAATGCCATCCTTACCAAACACCGGCGCATCCACACCGGAGAAAAGCCCCACAAGTGTGAGGAATGTGGGAAAAGTTTCACTGAGCGCAACACATTGATCCGACACCAGAACATCCACACTGGGGAAAGGCCCTACAAGTGTGAGGAGTGTGGGAAGGGCTTCACGCAGTGTTCCAACCTGATCCGCCACCAAAGTGTCCACAATGGGGAGAGGCCCTACGAGTGTTCCAAGTGTGGGAAGAGGTTTCCCACCAGCTCCAGTCTCCTCAGGCACTTCCAGACACACACGGAGGAGAGGCCTTTCCAGTGCTCTGATTGCGGGAAGGGCTTCAAGCGAAACTCCCACCTCATCACCCACTGGCACATCCACACTGGGGAGAGACCCTACGAGTGTCCTGAGTGTTGCAAGAACTTTTCTCAGAGCTCAGCTTTGAAGAGACACCAGCAGAGGCAGCATTAATGCAATCCCCACAAGTCCTCCTAGTGCAAGGCAAACTTAGTGCGCTGCTCCAACTCTATCCTCTAACGGAGGAGCCCACGTTGGGCAGAGCCCTGGTGACCCACATTCCTTGGGATCCACGTTGCGAAGACACCTGGCTGGTTATCCTTTTGTTTTGGCCTTCGTTTTAGTCTCTTCTCCGTCTCTTTGCGTTCCAGAAGCCAAGAGGGATCAATCTGTCACCTCAAATCCCTCTTAAAACACCTCAATTTTAAATCAAAATGACATGATTCCACCTCCAAATGCCTTGTTCCCTCCTCAAAACAACTCAGTCCCACGCAAACCTTACTGGATTCCACCGCCGGCAGGGTGAGAAGGGGTTGGAAGGAGATTGGGAGAAGTGGGATCCAAATTTGGAGCACTGGGATTGGGATTGGGTGTTGGGCTGGCTGGCTGGGATGGATTTGATAGTAAATAAAAGTTTTAGAATTCCTGATTTCTGCCCCATTCACTTCCAGTCAGTTGCAGTTCTGTTTTCAGTGGCACCTTCTCACCTGATTGTGTTTGTGTCCTCCTTTCTCTCCTGCCTCTCCCTGCCTGCTCTGTTTCTGTCTCAGGGTCTCCCTTGACCCAGGGCAGCTCCCACCAAAGACCCTCCCCTGATTTAATTCCCTGTGCAGGAGCTCCAACAGCCATGGGTGAAGTTAGGAAGGCTGGCAGTGAAATGTCCCTGTAAGGTCTTGCTGCACTTGGCTTTTGGCCCCTTCTGAAGAGCTTTGCCTTCAAGGGCAGGAACATCTTTTCGTGGCTGGGAACTGGAATTCCAGACCCTGGCAGTGTGAGCCATGCAGGAGCATCCAGACTGGGATCATGGGGGCTGGGATGACATGGACTGGGATCCTCCAGATTGGGACTGCACAGATTGGGACCAGATGGATCAGGTCCAAACAGACTGGGATTGTACAAACTGGATCACATGGACTGGGATTGTACAGACTGGGATCACATGGACTGGGACCATATGGACCAGGATGGCTGCACCAGAACGATGGGAACCGAGGTGGTCCCGCCCCACCCAGGGGTCCCTCCCAGTCCTGCCCAGTCCCGTGTGGGGGCACAGCCAAAACTCCCCGGAGTGAACGCGGAGATCCCGGAGCGCTGCCGGTGTCGGTCTCTGTCCCGGTGCTGGTCTGGGTCTCAGTCTTGGAGCAGTCCTGGAGTGCTCCTGGTGCTGATTCTGGTCCCAGTCTGAATCTCAATCCCAGAGCGGTGCGTCTCGGTGCCAGTTCCGGTTCTGGTTTCTGTCTCGGTCTAAATTTTGGTCCTGGTCTAATTCTCAATTTCAGCGTAGGAGTGGTTCCAGTACCAGTCCTGGTACTGGTGCTGATGTTGGTCCTGGTGTGCTCCCAGTGCCAATCTCAATCTCAGATCATATCCCACAGCGGGTCCAGTCTCAGTTCTGGTGTCAGTGCTGGTCTCAGTCTCAGTCCTAAAGTTCTCCCGGTGTCGGTGCTGGTTCCAGTCCCAGAGCAGTCCTGGAGCTCTCCCAGTGCCTGTCCCAGTTTTGGTGTTTATCGATGATTTAGAGAGAGACAGGGACTGCTGACTCGTGATCAGAATCCAAATTTATTGTGAGCTACTTTTGTTTATACACTATTTTTAGGAAGGCAGTAAATTTTTATAACATTCATTGGGTTAAACATCACCCAGACAAACTTTACATTTCTACTTTTTTAGTTCAATCTTCTTTCCTGTTGCCACTCTTGATCCAGTCTTCTTGGACTCTTCAAAGCTCTGTTTGCTCTTACCAAGACATCTTGGTTATCAACCTGCAAATGCCAATTAAATCCACAGTGCTCTCTGTCTCAGCTTCCACAGTGCTGCTCTCAGGCTGGGTCCTATAGCGGTGCCAGTCTCGGTGTTGGTGCCGGTTCCGTTTTCAGTCTCACTCTTAATGTCGGTCTTGGTCTCAGTCTCAGAGCGATTCTGGTCCCAGTGTTGGTCCTGCTGTCAGTGTTGGTCCTGGATTTCTCTGAGTGCCAATCTCAGTCTCGGTTCTGTTGCCAGTGCCAGTCTCGGTGCTGGTCCCGGTCCCAGAGCAGTCCTGGAGCTCTCCCGGTGCTGGGCCAGTGTCAGTGTTGGTCTCAGTCTTGGTCCTAGTGCCAGTTTCAGGACTGGTTTTTGTCATGGTGTCAGTCTCTGTCTCAGTCTCGGTCCTAGTCCTACTTCCAGTCTGGAGCGGTGCTGGTCTCAGTTCTGGTGTCAGTCCTGTCGCCAGTCTTAGTCTCAGTGTCCATTCTGATTTCGGTCTCATTCTTGGGGCTGGTGCCAATTCTAGTGCCGGTCTTGGTCCCAAAGATTTCAGGTACATTTAGGTGATTTTATACCAAACTGGGAAGATTTAGGCTGGATTTTAGGCCCTTTTAGATAATGCAAGGCTCATTTCAATGATTTTAGACTCCTTTGTATAGGTTTGGGGCCCCTTTGGCTGATTTATGTCATACCTGGTGGGTTTAGGCTGCATTTCAGACGTTTTCTCGCTGATTTTAGGCCAAACCAGAACCTTTTATGACCGTGCGGCCAATTGGCCCCACCCCTTCCCCTCACAGTTCCCGCCCTTTCCTTGGCCCCGCCCCTTTCTCCTCACAGTTCCCGCCCTTTCCTTGACCCCACCCCTTCCCCTCACAGTTCCCGCCCTTTCCTTGGCCCCGCCCCTTTCTCCTCACAGTTCCCGCCCTTTCCTTGACCCCGCCCCTTTCCCCTCACAGTTCCCGCCCTTTCCTTGCCCCATCCCCTCCCAGTTCGGGGCTCCGAACGGGAGAGGAGGAGGAGGGAGGGAGGAAGAGGCGGAGCGGCAGCAGGAAGCAGGAGCAGAGAAGGGGTGAAGGTGAAGGAGAACGGCAATACCCCCTGAGAGAATTGAGTCTGACAATGGGACCCATTTCAAGAACGGCCTTTTCAATACCTGGGCCAGAGAACATGGCATGGAATGGATATATCATACGCCCTACCACGCGCCAGCTGCCAGGAGAGTTGAACAGTGCAATAGACTGCTCAAGACTACCCTAAAGGCACTTGGCAGAGGAACATTCAAGAATTGGGAAACTGTGACAAATGTGATTGGTGCTAATTAAATTGTAACTATATTAACAAAATTGTATTTAGATCAATAGAAGACAATTGTTACAGAGTGAGGGGGGAGATGGGTGAGACAGGGCAAAGGACATTTTCCAGATGGTGGGAGTCGAAGAAGGAGGTTGGAAGAAAGTCAAATAAGAATAGTAGAAAGATGTACGTCTGACAAGCAGCATCTAGAAAGTTTTGACCTTGTAATGGGCCAAAATGGGATGATTCCAAGCATGGGACTCAATTAAAGTCTTGTAATGGAAAACATCTGTTCAGTCACATAGTGAGCATGCACTACCTGCAGGTCACACCTCGGTCATTGATGAAGACGACGAGCCTTCATCAGAAATAAAACCCTCAAAAGGATGAGAGACCTCCTAACCCATTAGTAGAGCATGCACTGTACACAGTGACGTAGACTTTAGGAATAGAAACTAGGAGGAGTTTTGCAGTCACTTGTGTAGCATATAGTATATAAGGGGGATTGTTAGCCTTGATGCTTTGGTACGTGAGGAGGGGCGAGTCCCTCCCCGTATCCCCGGTTGGGGGGGCCCTCCCTGGTCGGTTTTGCTCATGCTTTATATGAACCTCAATTATACTAAATTAATTACTGCCAATTTTTGTATCTTCTCAAATATATGCACTTTGATTGTATTAATCTCCAATACTTTTTCATCTCCAATAGTTTGACTGTATTCATTTTGTTACTTTTAAAAATTTAATATTAAATATAATTAAATATAATTAAATAATTAAATAATAATTAAATATAATCTTGTTGTTTGATAAATTGGAAAATAAAATAGAACATAATTCATAACATGCGAAAACCCGGGAACTCCAGTCCAAGTGAAGAGTGGCTAGTTTTGGGAAGGAGCTCCCCACCAGTCGTTAAGGTGGTCCCGAGGCTAGACCAGGCACTCTTGGAGAAGGAGTTCCAAATTAAAATAAAGCATAAGCAAAAGAAGCTCGCTACAAGGAGGCG